ACATTAACATATAGTTTACGGAGGAGCGACCTTGTGGGGTGTTCCCCTTGAAATCAGGAAAACAAGGAATAAAGCAATCAAAACAACACCAGCTAAAGGAAAACAATTCACAACAGGAAGGGCAGAGACAACAACAATAAAGAAAATAACCTCAGCAGTATTATCACAGTCAGATACAGTTAACAAAAATGATACCGAAATCATAGACTCACTGACTTGAGCCGACTTAGACATGTAATTCCATTGTTATATCCACATATAGATATTAGTTAGTGTTAGACAGTCACAAAATGGCAGGCAGATAGTTACGGGTATTATCGGTCAACAAGATTATATCCACAGATTCAGTGTTCGAAAGGCAAATAATTACAAGAAGTTCCACAACTCTTTGGCAAGAAACTCCACAGAAATAAGTCTTATGTAACTGAGTAAATGTAGTGTGACAATCGAAATCCTAAGTCTTTAAATTTCCATTCTTTTCCTCTTCAACTGCTAATATCTTTTTGACGCCATAATACCTTGAAGCTTAATTGTTACAGTAAAAAGCGATATCAACCTTATTATTTTGAAGTCGATTAAAAAGACCACTGAAATTAGAGAAATATTGCACATACTAACCCCTACCACTGGAAGGAAGATATTACTTATTATCTATGCCAGAGCGACGCTACAAACAAATGCTGATGTTATTAGACATTGCGTTAGATTACGCAAATACATCGCGATAAATGCGTTCAAACATTCATCCAAGCATTAACACGAACAAAAGATATAGTTCAGCGAAGAGCCTCTTTTCGGTAGCGAATACATTCTCTTAGCTGTACAATCACAAATATTTATGAGTTATTTTATATGCATGTGCACATTAAATATGTCAAACAATAATACAATTTCATCCAATTGGTTCCCTTGATAAATTTCTATAAAGAAAGGAAGACGAAATTTGCAGTATAAAATGATATCATTCTATTTCACAGGTTCTCATCAGCTGCAGACTACCTGGAATAACAATAGTTATATAAATGATAATAACATACTTTAATGTTTGAGTAGTAATAGAGAAGAGATAAAATTGACGCGTCCAAAGAAGAATGAAAGCATTACAATTTTTAGTTTAAGTTATCATCATCAATTTTATATTGCAATTTTCGTCTTCCTTTCTTTATCGAAAAATACAATTGGTTATGGTCATTTTAACTAAACAGGTGAGAATTAATAAGTTTTAGGTGGAGGTACGTAATACAAAAACGGTCAAGAAAATTGGGTGTTAATGAAACTAGTGTAGTAATAAAGGTGATAACTTGTCATAAAGAGCTGATAAAAAGGAGTTGCGTAATAATACGAATAATTTGATGATTGAATGCTTTACGCAGGATACACATAGGAACAAAGTAGAGAATACGAAATCACATAAGAGTTGTAAATGAACACAAGAATTATAAACAACTAGAGAAACAGGCAAACTAACAAAATTAAGTCAGTCATCAAGAATCAACAAAGTTGTTACCATGATAGTAGAGGCAGTGGAGTAATTCTCTTTTATATGCACACCTGTTTTTCTATGTGAATGGCCAGATCTTCAGCGATACAAAGAAGACGAAACCGTATCACCTTTAGTAGGCTATTCTTGACTCTGTAGATTACTTTGAAAGAGGAGGCGTTTGTTGAGATGTATTGATCAGTGTTAACCAGGTATTCAATTATCGCACTCCTTATAGCACCACTATGGCCTTTTCGCAACTATGCTGAATAGTCTTCTTGAATCTACTAATGAGATGCACTCTGAACGTACAGTTCACTTTCAAAGACACTGTCTATAGACAAAAAGATGGTATTACAATGGGATCTCTATTGGGTCCACTACTATCAGATTGCTTCGTGGCAAGCCTCGAGAAAGGTCCACTAAAGCCGAGCAGTGACAATTCACGACTGTATAAAAGATATGTAGATGACATACTATTTGTGACAACAGTAATGACGCTAACCTACTGCTGCAGACGTTTACCTGCTGCCATCCAGCAATAAAAATCACTGCTGAAGTCGAAAACGAGGCGAAAATCCCCTTCATTGATGTGGAACTAACACGAAGAACTGGTGGAACCTCAGGAAGATCGATACATAGTAAAGGTAACTGGAATGGTCAACTAACAAGCTTCTATGGCTGGATACCCATTCAACAAAAGCGGAATTCAGTGAAACACCTTGCCACCCACATCCGATGAATCTGTAGTCCCGATGTTCTAGAAACAGAATTAGATCTTTTGAGAGAAATCTTCATCCAAAATCGATACCCACAAAGATTCATTGACAAAAATATCAAACCAGGAATTTGAAGAGATCAAACTTCACTTGAACCGAGAAAGAAGCCTGAAATGAACTTGGATTTCTAGGGAGATTTAACAAGCGTTAGGGTGTTGCTGCCCTGTTACTCCCACAAAATAAATTTTCAGCCAGCCTGTTCACATAGTATAGATGGGTTACACGATTTAATTAGCAGTGCACAAAATAATAGTATGTATGTCAACAGCTGATTCAAGCATTCTAGTACAAATCAAGAAGGGGAAAAGGGATAAGCAGATAAGAAAAAGAAGAATGCAGTGCAAATTCATGACGCAAACTTCCTGAGTGAAAATAAGAAGGTACTGAATTTTTTTACGGGATTCAAGAGCATAAGAGACTTTCTTTTATTTCTGCCAACTGGTTTCAATTAGACACAAAATGCATGTGCCTATGCTGAAACAAGCATGTGCATATTCAAAACTGAAAACCAACTAAACACAATCTCTAACTCCAGTAAGAGTGAGCACCTCAAATGATTAGATGGCTGTCTAAAAAACAGCAAAACAGCTTACATATATACATATGTATGTATAAAACAGAAATCCGACTTCATTCTTCGCATACAGAAAAGCTATGTGTCAAAGGAAATACACGAGGAGTCACAGCAATCTGAACTTATACGCGTAATATGTGCGTCGGTGGCACAGTGGTTAGGACTCTCGCCGACCATGCACATGGTCCGGGGTTCGATCCCCTGCCGGCGCACACCCGATATCTAAGGTCGGCCTGAATTTGGGCTACCGATATCCGTGCTGAAAATTCCACACTTGTACTGAAAATACAGTGTGGAATCAAGCTGTAAATCAAAAAAATAGCTTGGAATTAACGCTACTACTGAGCAGTTATAATACGATGCATAAAATATGCAAAACTAGGCAGACAAGGCAACGCTCCGATGAAGGAAAGCACTGAAATTTATGGTTATTGAGGCTTTAGGACGCAACAAGATCTAATTTAATTGTCAGAGCGAATTCCCGCCCAATCGAGTTACTCATTGCTATACGTAACTACACAATAACTAATGAGACAATACCAAAACTTTGAAATCTAAAACAAACGAATAACTATGATTCACGCACCAAGCAAGTAATAATGACTTGTTTAGATGACACAAAGTATGCAAATTGTCATCATTGAGATTTTTGGGTTGATAAACGGTTGATACACGACACTCAACCAAGGTATGAGATCAACCCACAGGATTATTGATTACTAGGGTTAATTATAAACTCGACATGGATTCTGAGTTAAAGCCAGAAACGAACATGCATAGGAACCCGAACTCCTTCCATAATTCCCCCGGAAAAATGATTATCCTATTCGTCCAACTATATATACATCACACGTTGTAATGCATACTTTTCTTTTACTGCTACCAACAAAACATGAGCAATGTAATTATGAGGTCTTTATAGTTGACGTACTATAACACAATAAACTAATTTACAGATTGAAACGTTAATGATTCAAAGGTTTTTAATCCTTTGTCCACTTTTCCAACGCAAAAGAAATATATTTACTTCTTCAGAATATATAACAAACAGGTGAAATAGGTGGACGAAGCAGCTTAAATAACAGTTAATATTCTTTTCTTTTTTACGACGAACGCATTACTTTGGAATAATGACACCTAGCAATTGAAATCTATATATATATATATATATATATATATATATATATATACATAACGCCATTTCAATTAACTACTTTTATTCTGTCAATAAGCACATAATCACAGTGGCGATATATCACTTTCGGTTACGGTTTATTTCATGCGAACATTATACAATTGACGATAAAAGCTAGAAATATATTCCGTTAAAACTAAGTTTTCGTTTGCGAGCACACACAACAGTGGATCTGCGACATCCAATACAGATGAAAAGAATTGGTCAGGATTTCAACGCACTAAAGGAGATCGGGTGATCGATTCGCATCTTCAGACAGCAGAATATGAGTAATTTTTAAATAACGTGTAAATCAATTTTAATCAGGAGAATATACTCAACAATAAGTCATTGACATTAGTTATTAACTTATACCTGTGAATGTTTTAGACCATCATTAATCTGTCGAATATTTCGCCCCAGTGTATAGTGATTAAAGGAACAGAACCGTGATGGTTGAATTTGAGTTTCCTAAAATAAGAGAGTGAGACTACTTTTGCACTGAAGAACAGTAGCGAGCTAATCATAACTTAAACCAATAATTACGAAGAGGATTTCGTGAAAAGTATGAAAATTTCCACTATTGAAAGACCTCCGAGTTAATATTACTAAATTATTAGGCTACAAATTTGTGTCTACAAATTGCCTTCATGGTAAAACAAAGTAATTGTTAAATACGTATAAACTGTCCAGTACTGTCTCAATTTCGACGTCTACCATTTTGTAACTGTTACGAATAGAAACAGCAGAAGTTTCTTACTGTAATCGGAAATTTCAAATCGCAACTACATCAAGTACAGAAACACAGAGCAATTTGATTCCCTAAAGGACCCATATGTATGGGGAATCACAACAACAAGAAAAACCTATGGTGTAGCCTTAAAAACGAAAAGTTATCTATGTTGGCGTTTACAGTCTAGAAGGTAACGGGATATAAAAGTCATAACAATCTGATCTTTCCATCACATACAAACAAAATATATATTAAAAGAACACTGATTCTATTTGCGCCTTCGTTTAACAAATATTCTGATCTCAAGAGCAGAAATAAATGTCAATAATCACAATTAAGACTGGGACCAGTCAAGACATAAAATAGACATGAAAGCGGCATACAAATGCAGACTTCAAGTCTGATTTGTGAGTATGAAGATCTCAAGGCAAAATGTTTGTTACAATCTGAAATAACAGAAATATTATAACATAAAAGAAATACACGCGGAACAGACGCGTCAGTTTAAGCTTTCTGAATGGTAAAGTCAAGAAAAAAATATATTTCAGTATGAAACAGAAAAAAAGTGTATATTAGTCACGAGGATAATTTTCTAAAAACCATAACAGTGTGAAATAAAAGGGGATATGTATATATATATATATATATATATATATATATATATATATATACTCCCAATTATTAAAATAAATGATTCAGATAATTTATTTCATGACCTTACGTGGGGTAGTAAAGGAAAGGGACAATATTTACATATAAAAGGAGATCATTAATACACATCTGTGGTATAGCTGCCACACAGGATGCACAATATGACAGGAATGACACACAGGATAACGCATAGATGTCCCGAAAACAATAAGCAGCCGCCTGTTTGGTTTGTACATTATAATTTTCGTTCCATATCAAATGAGAAGGCAAGAAGAGGCGAAATGCTAAAAAAACAGATTTAGTAAAAACATAAAAAACATTTAATGAGTATGAATAACTAACTATATTATCACTGTGAACAAATTTACAAATGAATTGCAGAATACTGAAGATTTACTTAAACATTCTTTGGCGAAGGAAAATACCACATTGTGGTAAACAATAGTAAGAATTTGGGGATGAATACATAAAATTGCAAATGTGACTTTTGAGGACCTAACAAGGACAGAACTAAGCAACCCATGAAGTATTGATAAATTCCTTTGTTTGTGCAACTAAGAGAACTAGAAAGAATTACTAACCGACTAAATTTATATTTCAAACTTCAGAATAAGAACTGTAATGCTTAGAAGCTACCTGCAGGTTTAGTGAATAGATAACATCAAGACACGGGTATTTCTCATAAATACAAAGTAAGACAAGTTTGTAGTATTTCCGAGCGATAAAATGATGATACCGTTAGGAGTTATTCACTAACAGGCATGCCACCACCATAGTCCTTAAGATAACTATGCTCAAATTGCAGTTCATCATATGCATATATTGGAAAATGATACGTGCTCTCAGGAGGGCTATTCATTCAATTAACAGGAATAAATCTGTGGCGCTGTGATACAGACAATGTGTGCCAACGGAATATTATTCTCACATATTCCCACAGTTCAATTCGGCATTAACAACAGAATACTACGTATATTTGAACATTCTATTTCATGTCGTTTGATGTAAACCAAAATCACACACTCAGTGATTGGTTAACGAATATAAACTGTATATATACGAACAGCAGTTTGATCAATGGAAAATAAACCTTTGGCTTTCGTGTCTTGCCTACTGTTGTTACAAACCCACATCCATTGAAATAAGTTCTTCCCTTTGTGATAGGGACGTTCGAAATAGAGGCAAATGAATCTATCGCGTTAAGAAAAATGGGAACTACTTCCATAATTCGGTCATTTCAACAAACAACTAAAGGTTCCATATTAGTTTGTTTATTAGATATGTCACACAGTGAAAAAGTATTATTTACTGTATGACGTTTCGAACAAAATTTATTGTTCATAATCACATCAATTATAATCACACGACTTCGGAACTTGAGTTTTACAGTTTTCTTTGTTCTCTCCTATTTGTCGTAGGGGTAGTAGAATTTTCCAGATATCTGGAACAGGTGTTGAATCATTCCTATTACACGTGTTTGCAGTTGATTCGATAAACAAAGCTTCTGTTATCAATCTTTCCTTCCACCATGTGACATTAGATTTTGAAACTGTCATCTTATCCTATTGTACGGTTGTATGTAATTGCATGTAGTGCTATAGCTGAACTATTCTCTAGATTTCTTATCTTATTCGGATCAACTAATCTAGATTTTGCTAAGCTTTTATGCTCGGCTAGTCTGACTGCCCCTGTTCTATTAATTTGACCTATGTATTTGTAAATCTGTATGTAAATTTTGTTCGAAACGTCATCCAGTAAATAATACTGCTTCACTGTGTGATACATCTAATAAACAAACTAATATGGAATTACTTACTACCACAGTGCCCAAGTTTTACACATATATAAACACCTAAAGGAATATTCTCAAATGAAGCCCATAAAAGTTGGGTCTGAAAAGAGCAGCTTGAGGAAATGATGTACTACACCTTGAATCTTCAGTTAATACATTAGTGCGTCTACATATACATACACGTACAAGTCAAGTTCATAAAAGCTTTGTTTACGATCTCAAAAAAAATAAGCAGTTACAACATCTGTATGTTTCTATGATACTAATTTTTAAACTATAAGATGTTGTCTAGAGGGTGAATGAAAGCTTCGCAACTGAATCACCCAGCTAGAAGAACGCGACTACAGAAAAGCCAGTATCCATTTACTAAGAATTAAGCGAAAAGTAGCTTTATCAGTCACCAGCATAATTTTTCTTGGTTTATCATTTATCAAGTCATGAGGTGACTACAATCGAAAAATTAATTTTTGCATAGTTACTAATCCTAATTCATAGTACTATATAATACAGCTTTTTGGAGAATACGGCTAGAATGTGATAAATTAAATTACATTTACGTCAAACTCGAAAACAATACAATGCCACAAGGGAGACCTATAGTAATATTTTCAAGGGTTCTAAACATATACTAAGTGAATAAGCTTAAACAACAAATATATAAAGCTGGAATTATGCTCTTTTTAACTTAATGTTTCCCGATAGAAGGAAAATCACAAACTACCTTTAAGTGACGACAAGCTACAGTGATTAGGAAACCCTTTTTTCATTTATTATGACTCTCCTTGACCGTGTGAGAAATAGCTGACCAAATCCAGTGCAGTAACTAGCCCATTATCTGAGTTAAATTGCCTAGATATTGAGTAACGAAAATTACACGAAAAAGTACTCACAGGCAAGTCCATGTTTCTGCATGATATTACAGTGTGTAATATTACCGTATTAGCAAAACTAAAATACACATTACTAAGGAAGATAGACGAACACATTTGTGTGATTATTTTCCCTCAGCTCTAAAGAGCTAAAAGTGTGATTAATATAAAACAAAACGCGAATCACTCATTTATTCATGTTTTACCTAGGAGGTAAAAGACGATAATACCTCTTTTCTAGCTTGAACAGAACACAAAAACCTATGAACAATAATTTACAACTACTTACTGAAGAGTATCATTTATGCGCTATCTGCAACACCCAGTTTGCTCAATGAGTCTTGTTCGAAGCGTCGCTGAGCTTCCTGCTGGCGTTGATAATGCTGTTGAAGTTGTTGCAGCCGAGAGGTTGGTCCTGGTGTCAAACGCAAAGTTGGTGGCACAATGGATGGAGCATCAGATGTTGGAGGTGGTTGAGAATGAACGGAGTTAATGGACACAGGGAAAACAGATTGAGATAATTTAGAACACGGAGTATCCGGAGGAGAACGTTGAGTAGAAGAATTTGAAGCCCGCTTACCCAGTTGCCAAGTTCCACGACTCTGATGAGCCGGTTGGTTCCAAAGTGGACTACCACTTACGGAAGTTGGACTTGTTGTACTGGCGATAGTCGGTAGAGTAAATGGCATTGTATTTGTGGTAGTAACACTGTTGGAACGCGTGTCATCACGTTCCAGTAAGCTTTTAAGCAACTGAGAGGCTGGATTTGTAGCTAGTACAGAAGAACTTGAGCTGACAAGTGTTAAGGATGTTGCACACAAATTACGGCTAATAGGAAGCGATGAACCATCATCAGGTAAGCTAGTTGCTCCTAAGTCCATGATAAACGTGCCATCAGTGGCAACTTCGCACGGCAAAACGGCATTAGTTGTGACTACCTCAGACGTAAAAACACCAAAGCTAGTATTGGGTACTGAAAATCTACCTAATCCGACGGTATTCGCACCGAATGGAGATATGCTAAATCCTGGGGTTGTCGGAAGCATAATAGGACGATCAGCTTTTGGTAAAATCTTTCTAAATGAATGATACTTATGGACGACTGTTCTTTTGAGAGCAGGTGAACAAACAGAAACATTTGTAGGTGACTGCATAGTGGTCGTAACTGATATTTCACTGGAAACAGAGGAGGCAGGAGGTGAAGATGGAGATACAAAAGATGTGCTTGATAGAAAGAATTGATCACTAACATTTTCAACTGCAGAGACTTGAGGTGCTGTAAGGCTTTGACTGATATTATGAGTACCTAGAATTGAAAATACAAAACGCAAATGAGCTGAAATATTCAAATAAAAGGCTGAATGACCGATAAACGTTCAAAACATGAGTTACACAAATACTAATCGAGACAATGTAAAAATAACATTACCACTCAATGTAACATTCTAAGTAAAATTTGATGCAGCTAGTGACTCATTGGCTAAGGGATCACCTAGATTAGAAACAAAAAGGTAAGGCTTACTAGTACTAATTCCAGCTGGATATCATTACTAAGCCAGAAGATCTGCCACTTTGTGTAAGAGCTTAAAAAGCAAGTGTAAGAGGGCTGTTTGCAGATGGTGCTTCTCAGATATAAAAAAACCCACTAAAATGCAAATAAGTGGAGAAAATAACAAAAAATTCTTCCACCCTAGAAATTATACATCTAAGGCAGCGACTATATGTACGATATTCATACCTAATAAAGAGACTGATGCAACTTCTTACATCAGATCAATAAAGGTTATAGGCTGTCATGCTTTCATTGTATGATTTGGATGAATTTTGTTCCTGAAAAGACAGAAACTAGTGCACTATCATATCATCTACAGTTGCAACTATGATGAAAGATAACGCTTCTATCTACAATTATAGCCACATATAATTAAAATGAAACAATTCCAAACGTAAAACACTGATGTGTTTAGTGTACCATTACATGAATATCTCAATTTTTGACAAAAGCAAAGAAATTTATGCAATCAAACTTAGTGTAAGTTGTCGCGCACAGTGAAATAATGGTCTTTTATGTTATCGAAAACCTACAGAATAACAACAATGCACACGCACTAAACAGCTGAAGTGATGAATTCACATCAAGGATAACAACCTAAATCTATTAATATCTAACACTTTAGAAGGAAAAAGCTATGCTAATATATTCCCAGCATTTAAATTTCCCAGGTTTGAAAATCAAGCACATTGTAACTGCTTACCGCAAAACTTATTAATCTCGCGTTACATTATTAGTGTAACAACAGAAGACAAGGGCCAGGCAACAGAACCTTTATTACGGAAAATCAACACGTATTTATAGATTTTAATGTACATTATTGTAGGTTAATGTTAGTAGAAAATACAGTCTGTTGATTGGTTGTTTCTCACACAAAGTTAACCTTGCATCTCTTGTGGCTGTGCCAGTTCATCTATATGTTAACTGTATCCGCCTGTCCATCTTGACCTTTGACCTCAATTACTGTCAACCAATTTGGCTAGCAACCATCTCTCACCACATTAGTACATGTGGATTTATAATTATTCAGCAGTTATTTTTTCCTTGTGTAAAACGTGAAAGTATCACGGTATTTTGGCAAAGCTTGCCATCCATCAACTCTTATCGTTTTAGACGCCCATGAAATATGACTGTCCATTGGACGGTGTATCCATCCTAATTCCCGCTCTACGGCTGAGATAAAGTCGTATAAGTCAGTAAATATGAAATGACTAGAGGTTTTCGGCCATATGAACCTTAGACCAATCACCCAGACTAGATTTTTTTCATTTCTGTGCCTTCCCAGTGAAACATGGGGCTTCAAACTTGAGCTTGTAAGTTTTAGCAGCAGTGGTGCTTTTTACGAGATGGGATTGCTAGCCTCACATCTAATATTTCGTTGTCAGGGTTACAAATGATTAAGGGGGGTTAATGTTTGCACCGGCAGGGAATCGAACTCAGGACCACGTGCATGGTTGGTGAGTAATCTACTGCTGAGCCACCTACGCACTACCCATACTAAATGTAGCAATATATTAAGTAATAATAAGGTTAAGCGTAGCTTCGGGTAAGGAGAAAAGGTGGATCGATGAGCTAGGAAGTTCCATAGCATGAGACAGCCTATACGTGTATTATATATGATTTGTCATGATGACCGACGTTAGCTAAAGTTCAACCAAACTAGAAAACCTAAAAAGTTAAACCAAAACACGGCACTAATCCATGATTTCACTGACTATTGTTCTGATCTATATTTGGAGGTGAGAATTGTGTATGTGTGAGAGAGAGCCTAAACTGGTGTGGTGTGAACATTTTCATAAACGTTTAGCATTTATATTATACACTATTCACATCTTTCATTTTTGTTTAAACCAGATTCTATACTGGAATTATAAAACGAATAAAGCCTTTATTGCGGGCCCTCAATATTCTCACTTGATCGGTGAATGTTTGATTAACTCATAAACACTACAATTTATTCGTTTTATTATGGACAAGATATTACGTCCTGAACGCTTTGATGCTGATTCCAATTGTCAAACATCTTCGAAGATTTGGAATCATTGGTTTCGTACATTCAATACTTTTATCACTAAATCTTCAACTCCTGATTCAGACAAACTTGATGTTCTCATCAACTGTATCTCACCTACTGTATATGAATACATTGCTGAATGTAAAACATTTGACGGCGCTCTTAGTACTCTTGAGAAACTATATGTCAAACCAAAGAACGAGATTTTTGCTCGACATCTATTATCCACATGCAAACAAAAAACTGGACAGAGCCTCGACCAATTTTTACAAAAACTGAAATCTCTGGCAAAAGATTGTTCATTCAAACCTGTCTCGGCTGAACAAAATCAGAATGATGCAATACGTGACGCATTCATAAGTGGAATGCAATCTAATAATATACGACCACGTCTTCTGGAAAACAAATTACTTGATCTTGATAATGCTTATGAACAAGCTCGATCCCTAGAAATGGCTTATCAACAATCACATTCGTTTCATCCTTCCGAATTCTCCAATTCTGCTGCAATATCAAACAGTGATACATCAAATGAACTAAACTCTTATGTGGGTGAAACAGGATTGACTGCTTCAATAAATGAGAAATGCTACTTCTGTGGATTTACTAGACATCCTCGCTCTAAATGTCCTGCAAGGGATGCAGTATGCAAACTCTGTGGTAAGAAGGGGCATTATCAGAAGGTCTGCCGGTCAAAATCGTACACCAAAACTACATCAGTTACTAGTTCTTTGTTGTCTTCCATGACTCTAGCCGCCGCTCCACAGTCTCTCTCCAATGCGGTTGTGCAGCTTTTTGTAAATGACATTCCCCTACAAGCCCTCGTAGATACTGGGAGCTCAGACAGTTATATTTCTTGTGCAGTTGTTCAAAAACAACATATAAAGGTAGAGCATTCTCGCACTTCAATCACAATGGCTTCCACAAGTCTGACAACTCATACTCATGGTCACTGTTATGTAAATCTACGTTATAAAGACTCGAGTTACTCACATATCAAACTTTCAGTGTTGCCAAATCTGTGTGCTGATGTGCTATTAGGTCATGATTTTTTACGCTTGCATAATAAACTCGAAATTCCATTTGAAGGTAAAAACAATCCATTTTCACTGTGTAATCTTGTTGCTGCACATATTGATCCACCTCCCTTGTTTCATAACCTAACACCCAAATGTGTTCCGATCGCTACAAAATCACGAAGACATTCCACTTCAGATGAACATTTCATCAAGCTGGAAATCGAAAATTTACTCAGTGAGCAGATCATCGAGCCATCTAACTCCCCTTGGCGCGCCCAAGTTTTGGTCACTACTAATGAACGCCACAAGCGTAGAATGGTGATTGATTACAGCCAAACGATAAATCGTTTCACATTATTGGATGCCTATCCACTCCCAAAAATTGATGAGATGATTGAAAAGATTTCAAAATATACTGTATTTAGCACTTTGGATTTAAAGAGTGCTTACCATCAAATACCCATCAAAGAAGAAGAGAAACTCTTCACAGCTTTTGAAGCTTGCGGCAACCTCTATCAGTTCCGTCGTATTCCCTTTGGTGTCACAAACGGTGTTTCGTGTTTTCAGAGAGTTATCAGTCAGATTATCAGAAATGAAAATCTTCAAGCTACATTTGCTTATTTAGATAATATAACTATTTGTGGTGAAAACACAGAACAACATGCAAAAAATCTTGCCCGGTTCTATGAAGCATCCAGAAAATATGGGCTAACATTCAATGAGAATAAAAGTGTTATTGGCGTTAAACAAGTAAAACTTCTAGGCTATGAAGTTTCTCATAAAATGATCAAACCTGATCCCGATAGACTTCAAGCATTATGGAATTTATCACCTCCACGAGATCTTAAATCCCAACAGCGAGTCATTGGTCTCTTTGCGTATTATTCACAATGGATATCTCATTTCTCCGATAAAATTCAACCCCTTATACAAAATAAAATCTTTCCATTACCAGGTACTATTGTAAGCTCATATGCAGCATTAAAAAATGAACTTGCTCAATCTGTGATGACTACTGTGGATCTCGACTTGCCCCTTATAGTTGAAACCGACGCTTCGGATACTGCTATAGCTGCCACGTTAACACAAAATGGTAGACCCGTTGCATTTTTTTTCCAGAACACTATCACCAAGTGAACGGCATCACTCAGTGGTGGAGAAAGAAGCTTATGCCATCGTCGAAGCTATTAGAAAATGGCGTCATTATTTACTTGGTACTCATTTCCAACTCATTACAGACCAACGATCAGTTTCTTTCATGTACGATATGAACCACCATGGGAAAATAAAGAATGACAAGATTCAGCGTTGGCGAATAGAACTTTCTTGTTACAGTTTTGATATAATCTACCGTTGTGGCAAAGAAAACAAAGTCGCCGATGCATTATCTCGCGGATATTCTGCTTCTGTCATGGGTGAAACTAATCTGAAAGACCTACATAACTCTCTGTGCCATCCAGGAGTTGTTCGCCTTCTTCACTTTGTGCGTTCTAAGAACCTACCTTTTTCTGTTGATGATGTGAAGAGGACGATATCTAGTTGTGCAGTTTGTGCTGAGCTGAAACCCAGGTTTTGCAAAGTATCCACAGGAAATCTTATTAAAGCGACTTCTCCTTTTGAACGTCTAAATATTGATTTCAAAGGACCTCTTCCTTCAAACTCCCGGAACAAATATCTTCTTACGATAATTGATGAGTACTCTAGATTTCCGTTCGCTTTTCCTTGCCAGGATATGACAGCATCAACTATTATTAATTGCCTGTGCCAGTTGTTTTCCCTGTTTGGTATGCCATCCTACATGCATTCAGACAGAGGATCGTCGTTTATGTCTGCAGAATTAAAACATTTTCTCCACGATAAAGGAATAGTTACCAGTAGAACAACAGCATACAACCCCCAATCAAATGGACAGATTGAACGTCTCAACGGCACTCTCTGGCGATGTATATCACTAGCTGCTAAATCTAGGTCCATACCAATCTGTGAGTGGGAGGTTGTTCTCCCCGACGCTCTTCATTCTATCCGTTCTCTTTTATGTACTGCCACAAATACTACTCCACACGAACGGATGTTCAGGTACAATCGAAAATCAACGTCTGGTGTTTCTCTTCCCAGTTGGTTAACTATTCCTGGACCGGTCTTGATGCGCCGTAATGTACGTTCTAAATATGAATCTCCAGTTGATGAAGTTGAACTGATTGAATGTAATCCCAAGTATGCTCATGTGAGACTTCCAGATGGACGTGAGGAAACAGTATCTATTCATCATCTTGCACCAAAAGAACATATATTTCAATCGCCCGTTAGCATGCCGATTCCAGACGCAGTACCAGAATGCCTCCAAAATCAACTTACTGAAGACGACATATCCACCCGTTCTACAGATACTGAAACTTCTATTTTGACGGACAATTTAAGTGAAAATGTCAAAATTGATCCGAACCCATCTTCTTTACTAGAGAAACAACGAAGGGTTCGTCCATACAATCTGAGAAGCCGCGAAGTCTAAACAATTTTAAAAGTCTTGACTCCTTATGCTCTGTATTCTCAAACAAAAGGGGAGAAGAATGTGGTGTGAACATTTTCATAAACGTTTAGCATTTATATTATACACTATTCACATCTTTCATTTTTGTTTAAACCAGATTCTATACTGGAATTATAAAACGAATAAAGCCTTTATTGCGGGCCCTCAATATTCTCACTTGATCGGTGAATGTTTGATTAACTCATAAACACTACAACTGGACACTATGAATCAATGGTTTAAGAGTCTAAGTGAAACGCTCCAGTATTTTTTTTCAAAATAGCACAAATGTATTTACTACTTATCATTTTCCGACTCCACAGTACGCAGTAGTGTAGTAACATTCTATTTCAGATCCCATATCCTTTGAGATTTTTCGCGTCTGAACTTTGTAGAAAAGTGCAGTAGTTCAGGCTACCACACTTCACAAGCACACATGTGCAGAAGGAGAAATGTGAAAGAAACACAATGAACAGAAATATATGGGAGAAAGAATTAGGACATGGAGAATAAGGAGAACTTAATGGACATGGGGGACTACACAAAGTGAATACCTTCCCTTACGCCATTGAGAACAACTTTGAGCAATATCACCGAATCTCAAGCAACTGTTTCTTAGAGTCTAATCGACCATAGCCAAGAACACCTCTTAATTTGACTCATAATAATAGTCAAAGACTTCATGAATTCATGTCAATTTTCGATTACGCCACCACTATCTTAGAACCTAATCTGATGTCAGTCAACATTGCTCGACAGGAAAGGCAGGGGCGTAGTACGTGCTGAAACTATCTTGATCGATGAAGCTTTACAACCTCACTGATTGACTTTCTCTCCTCGTTTACCACTTTACAATTAATTACAACACTGAGCAACACTTAACACAGGAGACAAAACAGTATGAATATTCACGCAAAATTGATATCTTCGATACTACCGTGAGTAGGTTATAGATTTAAATAAAATTAAACCCAAACATTCTATCAAAGACAGCTAGTAGTCTTAAGCATAATTACTACACCACTTTCATAACAGGGAATTCCTAATTCTGTGATGACTAAATATGTATGTACTCTTCATGGCATATAACCTTATTACTATACATTGGAAAAATGATCATCAAGCCACACAAGCTATTTAAAAATCTGATCTGTTACCGCTATTCAAGAGAGGACCTTTAATTTTTCTATCCACGGTAATTGATATTATGAAGCTATGAGAAACCACCACAACTTAATTGAAACACCAAGTGACCTAAATGTTTTACGCTGAAGATGGGTCGTAAGGTGCAGTGTTTAAACTTGTGAGAAACTAAAATGGCTCCAGTTACAGTAGTACAACAGAAGGAAAGTATATAAATAGAAACAAATGAAAACAAGTACCTCATAACTATTGTGATTGATATTTAGTGAGCTTAAGTCAAATAACAACTTGGAGCACCTGTTAAGTTTTAGAGAATTATGTGAGACTTTTCTCAAAGGTATATAGTCACTTTAGCCATATGTTTTACTCAGTAAGACTCATCAATATTTCGAAATGACATGGGTTCCCTTTGCAACATCCGGATCATGTGTATAATTCTAAGCAGCTGATACAATTTAACTTTCAAATTATGATGAGAAAATTTAAATATTTTAAGACGAGAATACTCTATCTATATTATCATGCATACATAACAAAAATAAAAGGTTCTAAACAACTGATTCATAAGTTATTCACAACGTACTTGTACTTTGATCTGTTTCAGGAAAACAGAGAACTGTAGATGTTACAGGATTATAACACGGAGATTGTAATCGCAAACTGGCAGGAAATGCAGGATTGACTGTTGGACGCCTAACTGGCCAACTGGTACGCGGGGTTCTAATTAGTGCTGGGTGGTGAGCACTCATAAAAGGAAGATTCTGAGGTTCTGTGGGTATGGTTGTTTGCAAGGTGGAGAAAGATGAAGGAATACTGTCGAAGAATCGATTTGAAGTCAATTTCTGAGTCGGTACAGAAGGAGGTTGATACGAATTTGACAGATTGGGTTCAAAAACTCTAGTCAAATTCTTGAGCTCGAAATCTTCCATGTCGTCGTCATCATCATCAATTTCAAGTCTATGGTTGGTTTCAGTAGAGGGATCATGATTTAGGTGGAAGGGGAATGATCGAAAGTCAAGGTTAGTCCCAGAGGTGCTTGGTGGCATTGATGAGTTGTACTGTATTGATGGCTGAGTTTGCTGGAACTGGGAAGACTGCAAGCACTGGGTAAAACTTGTCTCTGATTCAGGGGGCTAAAAAAGTAATACAATTCATCCTCATAAAACGTGGAACTTAACTGTTAAGAAATAACAAACATAACAAGTAACAAACACCATAATCCAACATAACACCAAACACGCACCTTTCTAAAAGACTTCGTAAAATTTGATGACTGCTGTCTTGCTTGACCACCAGAAGCAGCTAAAGCAATAAAGACAAGTGTTAACAATTCGATAGAAAGTCAGATAAACAACAAACATGAATACACTCAACCGCCTGTAGTTACAATATTAAAGGAAATACTCAAAAGGTGCATATAGGTGTCAGGCTTATTTATAATTTCAGATGTAACCAAGACTTGTGTGGATGGCTTAAGTCCTGTGAATCTCATAAACAATACTGTTGACGTTGGCATTGTTTTCTCCTCGGTGTCAGTGGTTTCATGTTTTCCAGGATCTCCAAAATCTTTCGTTGCACCTATTACATGAGAAGGCTGGGGTTCACTGGCATAGATCTGCCTTTTCTTTGGCCATATTATAAATCCTATTCATACTTCCACTTTATTATTATCTCAACTACTGAGATGAGATTATAATAGATTACGTAAGAGGCTTCAGGAAAAGTAAACGGTGTGCCTATGACTGACATTTGGGGTTCGTGGCTGCCTAAAGCTCTCTTAATGGATTTCGAAAATCCTATTAGGTCATAACTTTTTTCTCGTCTCCTTACGGAAAACAAGAAATAGCACAAGAATAAGTACATGCGGACAAATGCAAAAGTACAACATTTTAAGACTGCAAATAGTATCCCCAATGGTTACTTTCATAGTCTACTCTCATTAGAAATTACCAGATTATTTGGCATAAAACATGTCAGATTGGACTGATATGCAAACATGATATCAGTTTTATCAATAAAAACAGTCTTCCAAAATATCTCGGTTGTAGTCAGACGGAATAAATTCAAATAGTTCAGTGAGGAAGTTGTGCACAACCAATCAGAATAGTGTGACCACGATTCACATGGACAAAAACGAAAATTACCAGGAAAAAAGGACATAGACGAGTTAAAGCCGTGATCTCAATGGAACTGTAAACAAAAGGAAAGAACTAAAACGAAGATAACAGAATATAGTGAAACATCTGATGCTGACAATATATAATCCGCATTTAAGTGTTACTAAAGCAGATCAGATGACACGCCTAAACTAGTAATCTCTGACATTAATTTTAAGATTTCCCATAAAATTCAGATTATGTTAATCAGAATCGTCTCTAGTTTTGACTATTTTAAAGCAACCTTTATGTTACTCAAGCTCCAAATCATCTATCATGAGATGGAGGAAGAGGAAAGAGCTGATGTCTGAGAAAGCAGTACATGGAATTTAAGCAATTATGTAAATCAATCAAAAACCTTACCTGTGACTGGTTTTGAGTGCGTGAAGGGTGAATAGGGGATGCTTGAGAAGAACATTGAGATCTAGAATCTCTACAACAAACAGATCGGCCCGTCTCATCGTGTAGACGCTTTAATTTGAGTAGTTGACTTGCGCTGAGAGATTTAGCTGGCGTGTGAGAATCATCAGTTCCCAAAATAAATTCATCATTATTCATCGAATTTGTAACGGGAGGAACTTGAGAAGTGCCAACACTGATAACACTATGTGAAATGTTACTTGTAGAACACACGTCACTTGAGACTGTCAGTGATTCAGCATCATCTTTCATATCACTTTCACTAGCGACTGTTTCTGTGAGCTATTGAAAATCGGAAACAAGGTAAATAGGAACAGTGAACAGAAAGTAAGCAGCTATATTCACAGAATGATATCAATCTGTACTAGATACACAATTATTTCTCATTCAATGGGAAATAGTGCGCAACTCATCGGTAGCAAACACGATATGTGCAAGGCTATCAGGTGATACAGCCTACCCTGAAAAGTCAATCCAATCACTACCGAGACTTTAATGCACAGAAAAAATACGAAGAATAAACGAACTCTTCCCTGAAACTGGAAAGATGACATAATGTGGGCTAATAAAAACTTTCATGAAGCCAGTCAGTAGATGCGACTTTTTCCGAAGCAAAAATAACCATGTGGATATTAAATGTCCACACCGCGTTTGAGGCTGATAAGGTTGCTCAGATTGCAGAATTTCCACGAATATGTGAGAGCGGATGGAATGGAAGTGGACTCCATCAACTCTTTACTGGAATACCAATAATCTACTTCAGTCACGCAGACGACTAACGCGAACATACTAGGGAAGTATCATGATATTACCAACAGCATGGAAGTCTTTCATGCATTGGGACCAATCTCCTTCAGGATCATGACAACAAATTCAACTCAGAAAGGAGAGTTACAAGTATATAATGCTACGCATCTATAAACGATACGACAAGGAGGAGAACATCCATAGACAGCTGCAATCAGTAATGGACAAGACACCAAATGGCAACATCAAAATCCTAGTGGGTGATGTGAATACCAAATTGGGAGCAGAAAATAAAGAAGGAAAAGTCATGAGTAGTGGGGCTCTCGGCAAAATGAAGGAGAAGTCTTCGCGAACTTATGCACCTTCAATGTTTCGATGACTGGACGCAGGCGTGTAGTAGAACAAAGATATAGACAGGGAAACATGAGTTCTACAAAATGGACACACCCCAAATCAGACAGACTTCATCTCAATCTCAAGAAAATGGAGATGCAGCCTGTTGAACACTGGGTCAAAAAGGAGATTTAGGCTCAGAAACCACCTAGTGCAAGGAACACTTAAGAACAAGTTGAAAGTCCTCAAAGACGCTTTTTAGTTTATTTTTATTTTATTCATATTGGGTTCCTAGTGGAACACAGAGCTCCAAACATCAGATTTGGAGTTTCAGTAATGGTGGTGTTCTTTTTTAAGAGGGTAAGGTTGCTAACCCTAAACCTTCCCTCTTTACCAGACTTACCACTGGCCAAGCGACGTTTAGGAGTGCGTCGGCCGGGGGATGGACCCCCTAAATAGTGCGATGTTCGCGACGATCCTACCACTGAATCACTGACGAGAATTCCAACTCAACATCCCGAAACTGAAGAACGAAGCTACAAAGCACACCACTACAGCTATCAGGGAAAAATCAGACACATTAAGCAACATTAACTGAGGGAGCCTGTGTGAAAGAACACTGGGAGTAAATACTGAGCTAACTACTTTAAAGAAGACTTGAATCGGTAACCACATCCAACTAGACGAGAAATACCACCACCAGACAAAGAACCATCAACGAACATTATGTCTTAGACCAAATCAGAAGTTCTGAAGGTCGTAGGGTTACTGAAAGCTGGCAGAACAGCAGGACAAGATGGAACTCCATCCAGAAATACTGAAAACGGATTCAGAGACTTCAATGTATATGATCGCGCTATTACTGCACAAGAGGTAAAAGAGAAGATTGAAAGAAAGCTTACCTTGTCCAAAGGGCTACTTAAAATTTTGGCTGAAGTGGCAAGGGATCGTGCTCATGATCAACATAAGTAAAATATCACGCCGTATCATCCTAAAATGACTAAAGGATGCTCTGAATAAGAAACTCCGGCAGGAACAGGCTGGAATCAGAAGCAGTAGTTCAAAAACTGCCTCAACCATACGGAATACCCTAAACGTTTATCAAACTCACTCAACAGCTATGATAATGCAACATTCCAAGTAATTCACAACTGCTATCTTATCGAAACTTGTGATAGGAAGACAAGGCTACCTACTATCACCCATAATATTCCTCATTGTGGTGAACTGGATCAGCGAAAGACCGTGTGGAGAGAGAAGACATGAATACGTTGAACCGACAAAACTCTGGAATATCTGAACATCACGATGATTAAAGTATAATATCGCACAAACTGGAAAATCTACTGGAGGAAACCAACAGATTGGCATAAGTCAAAGTGAATACACGACTTCATGTAAACATAGAGAAAACAGAGGGGACGAAAACATCCGACCATAACCACAACTAACAACAACACCAACAAGCACCAACCACCAACATGATAGGAATCTAAACAAAATCGTCTCTTTCACTTACCTGACATGGACAGTATAGTTCCAAATACAGGCGGGAAAGAAGACACTAACAAGACTACTGAAGATCAGAAAGTTAGACAGGTCTTCATTACTTGGACATCAATGTGGAAATTTACTACACTCAGCTGGGGGAGGATGTCCGAATTTTCAACACTAATGTCCAGTTAGTACTTCTACATAGTTCAGAGACGGCGTGAGCGTCACCAGAAACACTTCCGACAGACCGCAGACTTTCATCAACAGCTTCTTTTGCTCTACGCTGAAGATCAAACGATTGGTAAACAAAAAACTCTGGGGGCGCACCGACCAAGGAACTAATGCCCAAAAGATATATTCAGGAAGAAAGATGGAGATGGACTGGATATGACGTGAGAAAAGAACTGAGTGATATCACATGCTAGGCCGTCAAGCCGAACCCAAAAAGGGGGCGAGGAATAAGGTATTTGAGAGTGACATTGGAAAGACCTTGTGAAGAGATAAAGGTTATGGGCGACCATGAAGCCAGCTAAAAATCGTGCAGGAAACCAAGTGAGACGGCGATGTGTTGAAGCCCTATTTTCCACAAGGAACCCGAGAGAATAATAATACCCCAAATAGCAAGGCTAAGTAATCTACAATTCCAGAAGAATATGAATGATAACCGGTAGAAATCGCTAACAGAAAGTTTGGAGAACAGCCATTTAATCACACAGCTGATTCATAAGCTAGACAATTGGGGAGAAGTTTCTAACTCTACAAATCTTGAGCAAAGCTCATCCAAGGCAAATGTGTAACTATTGCAGATGTAAAATAACCATTCTGTCTGTGTTGTATAAGTAAGACTATTTACTACAGAGTTAACATGCATAACCGTTAATTATGGTATTTCTATATCAATGACATCGAAAGCCAACTACTTTGAAATATTATTGAAGGCAAGGGATAATATGATAGAGGATTCTTTAGAGTATCCAACAACCAATTAAAATTTTAGTTTTAAAAGGCAAACTGACATAATATGAAGTGATGAATAAGTAACTTACACACACATTCTTTTCCACTTCAAGTTGTGGAGTATCCATCACAGAATCATTTTCGCCACCTTGATTTTCAGTTATTACACTGCATTCGCAACCATTCTCATCAACACGCTCATTGACTACACAGCTAATTGGATGATCAGCATTGGAATCTCCATAATCAGCTAAACTAACCGATACTTCTATTTCTGTTTTATTAAAAGGATCATTTATTGTTGAATTTGTATCAGCATCGTTCAATTTTGCATTGATGGTTGGTAGTGAATCAGTAATGACCGAAGGAATAGTTGTTAGAGTCTGCTCCATACTTGCTACGGGGTTTTGTACTATGCCTAACGATGTTGCAGTAGCTTGCAGCCTTCTGAACTGGTTCGCTGCTGAATACACTGGCATGGACTGAGTTTCGTGAATAGCAACGGCTGGGGTGGAAGTTGAGCTATGACCAGGTGAATTATTTGTTGTGCCAGAGGCAGCACTAACAGATGAACTCGTTGCTAGCGAATTTGTCAAGGAATTGGTAGATGTGACTGACATAGTGACGCTCGGACCACTAATTTGGCTCGTATTAACTCCAGGAATTCGTTTTCGGTTTAATATTTTTGGGATGGTTAAACTGCCTGTATATACTTTACGAATAACTTTCCGGGGACTGTGACGGCGAAACGGTAGACACTGAACTGCTCCAGGAGCATAAACATTTATTTCCCGTTTGGACAAGCCGTGGCTGCAACTGTTAGCACTGAAACTCAAAGAGTTATTTCCATGTATATCCGATGACTCTTCAGACGTTGCATTGTCCTGCACATCTTCCTTTATTGGAGAAATACGAGAAAGTGCTGTGGGGCGTTTATTTGCCTCTACGTTACTGACTGTGGGGTCATTTTCTAACTGTTGGCAACGTTGAAGCTCTACCTTACTTGTCCCACTGAATGAACAACTTTGTGTATGACGGGACTGGCCTTTGTCCACAGACTCGGCAGTAGAGTGAGTATGACTGAGTTTGTTATCAGGACTGCGCAAAACACGTGATCTAGTCTTTCTGCTGAGATTCAACTTTTCAAAGTATCTATGGTTGTGAAAATCTGAGTCCTCGGAATCAGAGTGGTACTCTCGTACATACCTTGCAGTACGCCGCATATACAAACCTGAATCACTCTGATATCCATTGAGCGACGAAGAATTATTTGACTCTTTACTAAGATGACACATGTTTGTATAGCGGGAGCTGGATTGACATGCATTCCTTGAGGCTAAACAAGAAATTCCTTTGGGACAACTTTGATTTTTAACTTTATTCCACAAGTTTTCATCACTTACGGAAGACGAGCGACAGCTTAAAGCTCTTTCACATAAATCCGACTTCGAACGAAGTAATGAGTTTGGGCAACGTGTACGTCTTGTGCTTGGCTCATTTTCAGAAGAGAACGTGAGGACAATATTGTATTCCGCATCATTATTGGCATTTTGCCGAAGCGCTAGTGACTGTATAAAGAAACCCGTTCGGCACATACGCTGTGTGAGTATATTCAGCTCATTAGAATGAAGTTGTTTAATGTGGATTTCGTCGTCATTTTGTGATACGCTGCAATTAAGTCCAAGAACCAAGCGGTCGAGGAGAGTAAGCTGACACATTCGATCAGGTCGTCGAGGAGGGCGAGGACGAGTCTCTGCTATGGGAATCAGTTCAGGAGTAACTCGGGGATTACTTAGAATTGGAATAGAATGTGTACATCGTGAGTTTACTGATTGTTCTGATTCCTGTGGTATGCGTGATTCAAAGCGACTGTGACAATCGTAACTTAGTTCCACTCTTTCTGAATGCATATGTTTAGAGGGGTGGTGATGAAACCATCTCCTCGCTTGGCGGAAGGACCTACCATAAGCGTCTATTATCGAAGTTGAAGAAGATGCTGAAGAATCATCACGTGAATGCTCTTTGCCTAGGTACTGCTTTTCTTTGTGAGACGTTAGGAACCGTTCATTAGGTCGTTTTCTTTGAAATGCAATTACTCGCCGTCTTTTGCGTTGTCTTTCCAGTAACTGGTCATCCGTCAGCTGCATTGAAGAATTACGGTTAATGCCAAATATGTCAAAATTAGTACTGTAATTGCGAATATCAGTCACATTTTCAGACTTAAATGCTGATTGATCAGAGGTCTCTGCTGTGTGAATGTCACAAGATTCCTTCGAATCATCCCGTTCAAAATTATGAGGACCATCGTCAATTGACCTAGAAGGTGAAATGTCACCAACACCTTCGACTTTTCCCTTAGGAGTGAGGTTTGCTTGATGTTGTCGACGCTGTATATCATTACTAACTGATGCGACATCACCTGATTTATTCGAGGAGACATAACAAAACTTCCAATCAATATGATGACTTACATCCGGATGACGGGTAGTTCTAGATGACACTGAAACAGTCATCTTTGGAACACGAAGAGCATTCTTACATGTTCTTGTGTCTAAATGCGCTGACTTTCGCCCACATAATTCATCAACAAATTCAGAGTCTTGAGATCTGATGGAGGCAATTTGTAAACCGCCTTGAATATGTGATTTAGCTCGAATGAGCTTTTTGGCAGCAGTGAGTCGTGCCGCAGAAACAATACCTGGTCGTGCTGACTGGTGTAGCAGTTTCCCACTATTGTGGACACTTTCAAGCGGAATAAGCCCGTCAACGTGAGAATGTCTACTGCCTTGGGATATCATATCAGAATAACGCCTTGGACGAGGGTTAGGACGTAAACGACCCAATGAATCTCGACTTAGTTGCTTACTTCGATCCTCTCGTCGTCTGCGCCAAACTTCACAAACACCAGGACGGAGAAGGCCATTCATTGCTAGAAACAAATCTTTTGATGCAAGTTCTTCATTCAAATTGCCCTCATCGCAGATAGAATTGAAAATTTTTTCAACAGAAGCTGAGTTAAAACTCATTGCCAGGTGATTTTCATCAATCTTGCCAAAAGTAGAGAGATTTTGGAGACCTTTACGAGTACGTTTGATAGGTAAATTAACAAAACCATTCACATTTACTTCATTCAAAACCTCCTGTAAGACATCATCTGTAGCACCAAAATGTAATAAGGTAGGTGAGCTGGTACACGAAACACGAACAAGATTTTGACTTGTAAAATCGTTCTCCTTAGTGAATTCTGAATGCAGAGAAGCTGAATTATGCAGATCTCCAAATGCATGCTCTTTGTTTGCAGATGATTTTACAGAAGAATCAACTTTGAGTGTTGGCGTCGTATAACTCTTCAGTGAAGGCCTTCCACGTCTCCGCTTTGCTGGAACTGGCAAAGTATCGAATATGAAATCATCTTTCTTAATGCTAGGTATATCTAACTTATAATCTGTAGGGGATTTACAACCGAAATTCTCAACTTCCCCACACTTTACAGCATCTTTCAATTCTGAACAATTTGGTGCAGGTTCATCAGAAACTGGAGAATCACATTTGCTATCTACAAAAGTTGGCCGATTAACAGATGAGTGAGCACTCCTGTCAAAGACTGGGACACGAGAAAAAACACTGGAGAATCTTGGACGTCCTCTCTTCGCGCCTCTAGAGACTGACAATCTTTTCGGTACAACACTACATACTTTAGTAGATTCATCATCCTTTCTGTTCCAAATGCGGCCTGGTGACGACAAAGTGTTACCCATCATAGAAATCAAACCCCCGTTTTTATTTCTTGTTCGTGTAGCATAAACAGAATGTAACGTGGGATTAGATGAAAGATCATTGCTCTTCGAATCTAAAAGAACGGAACACAACAGTCGACTACTTCCACGAAGACCTCGACTGCCGCGCCTACGAATTCTTGGTCTTCCGACATGACGTCCCACCCCAGCGCGTGGAGCTTGTGACGACAAACGACTTTTCAAACACTGAGCACCAACCACAAAGCGTCGCTTTACATCAATAGTAGGACTGAGGTCGGAAGCACATCTGTGCCTATTCTGTCTCGGACCCAGCCCGAGAGAGGAAACAATAGATTTCTTTTGGCCACGGTTTCTAAATCAGAAATACATACACAACATATGAACAGAAAATAACAGACTTAACAATACTTCAAAGACCTAGACTCACGCTAAGTTACAATGTATTAATCGAAGTGGCGAATTTCAAAACCACTTAAATAAAGTCTCAATAATTATATATGCATATATACGCATACGTATATATATATATGTATATATATACAATGTATATATATATATATATACCTATATATGTTGACATAAGTATATACATATATGTTTATATATATATAGTATTAATGCATCATGGTACATGTAGGTGAATACTATATAGGTTTTTATCTCCATGCACTGTATAATCTCGTTATTAGAATACCAAATTTAAAGGCTTAATTGCAACATAACGCAGATGAATGACTAACAAGATTATGACCAGATACCACACCACTATTAAACGTTAAACGTAATCTGCATTTAATCTGCAACTAACAAAGATATTAAAATAACCCCTAATTTAATGTGCGCAATCAACTTTTTTAGACATTTGTAAAATGACAATAAACATAAACTAACCTTGTTCGCATTGGCTATGAGGTTTATCTGCAATAAAAAAAGATTTTTATAGGTGTGTGGACCAAACTCGAGAGTAGCAACAGCTAAAAAAACTCAATTTATTATCAAACAAAACATAGAGAAAGTAATAACAGAAAAATTATCTGAAGAGATTCTCAAACAAAACATTCATTTTATAAGTTCCCTAAGAAACAATGCTTTTGACGTAGAATGACCGCATGGGAAAAATAATCACCTATACTTCATTAATTCCAGTACAGACTGGTAACTTACGGGTATGGAGTAAATGAGGGATCGGTATTCAACCGATAAGTAAGTTTTAAATACACGCAACTCCGTTGTAAAAGCGAAACCAAAACAAGCTGCGCGGGCCTTGGTCGACCTACCGTCCAATCATAAGGATTGGTAGGTGTTCCAGCATACGATGAAGTGAAGAATTATAACAACTTTTAGGAAAATATTTCACCCGCAGGTGGCACTATATTATAGGATTATTTCCAAAAAATTTAAATATGTAAAGTTTTTGAACTTCCGGAAAAATGACTCATAAACGTTAGTGTTTGCCTCCCAGGTCTTCATAAACTCAATCAAAACATCTAGAAATTCTCATTACCTAGTCTTTCTGGAGTGTCACCTGCAGATGGAACTGTATCATAAAACTAGTCTGCCAACACATTTTATCACGACTGCAATAAGCTAAATGTTATCTAGAAGAATTATTAGAATCCTGTATAAAGATATTATATTTTGACTGACAAGCACATTATTTCTAAAACTCGACAGTACTTATAAGGCAGTGTAGTATTAACCTGGTTTGTTTTCATGACCATGTCATCCTCGTTTACCTATATTTATTTCAGTTCTAATTTACTGAGCACTTTTGTATACTTTGCACCCCCGAACCATGCACATGGTCGGCCTGCAAAATTTGGGCTACCGATATCCATGCTGAAAATTCCATACTTGTGCTGAAAATGCGGTGTGGCATCAGGCTGCAATGAAAAATAAAAAATAATAGATGAATAAATAAATAAAACACAAAACGGATATTAAAGAAGCATATCATTTGAGCATGTTATACAATGACTTGGTGATGAATAAAATAAAACAACTACGGGAACGAAGAGTGAACACAGATTCGCCCACAGGAAATGTTCCATATGCGAACAAATGTCCCGAGTGTCATATAGGAGTGACTTAATACCATATCTTCCCTAATTGTAGTGTAAATGTCTGCAGCTATGTTGGTTAAGTGACTAGTTATGTTTTTTATATGATTGTAAGTGAAATTTTGCATTAAAAAAACTTTTCGGGCGTACATAATGTTGGTGGCATAATGAACTGCGCTACATTTGCTGCACTTGTATCAGGAAACGCCGCTTGATACTGATATCTGCGCAATGTGATGGATTAAATAAGGTAGGAAGTTCAAAATTTAAACGCATATTTTTGAATTTTCATGGAATCATGCTGGTATATTCGGCTTGGGACGTTTGTGTCTTAATTGGTTCGGTAGTTATTGGTATTTTTAGTTCAATTTCAGTTTTCATCTGTGCATCACAGTCTGCTTTTCATTTTAAGACAAAAAGCATTAGCACTATGGTCATAATATGAAGCAATGTGAACTTGTGTTTAAAGTGGCCTTTATTTTGAGGGAAGATTTATAAATAAATAAATAAATTTATTCTCATAGTACAGTACATGAGGGACGCCAGTTTACAGGCATCATCAAATTGTTACAGAAATAGAACAATATAGTTCAATCACAATTTACAGGCAGTAGCAGGATATGCTTTACATGTTCGCTGGAGATTATGCATACACTTGATAAATGTTAATCCCAGTAGTATAAAACAGCATTTTCACTTATATACAATCATTTCTGTGTACAGTTGGAATAATCTGCTAGATTGTCAGTGAGTACAACACATCAGGAAATACAGAAGTATTGTCTTCGCATTAACAAAAAAAACCAGGTCTTTGGTGGATGGATTATAAGTGCCTGGGAAAAAAATTAAAGCTTGAAGCCAATTTTCATACATAACTTTGTTGTGTGCAGGATCCTTGAGTTATAGCTCATTGATGTGTTATTTTGAAATCAGTGATGTGTTTATCTCATTTGATCTGCAATGTCATTGTTGGGAGTAAATACATAAGCTTCAGACGCATTAATTAATGGATTTCTACTGCTTGTGGGTATTTTCTTAGCGTGAGGAAGGTTTATGAATTTCAGCTGTTCTGACAGGAGTTGAGAATATTAACTGCTCAGCAACATTATGGATATAAGTTCATCACATTATCTAAGGAAAGGTGGGTTGCAGTTGGTGAGGGATATATGGTGCCCAACGAGTGTTCATCTGTCCTTGTGATGTTGTGGTGAGTTATACCTTTTTCATGTTGTCGGTTTATGTCCATTTTATTCCACTTATTGTGTTGGGTAGTAGTTTTACAAACGAGATTTCTTGTCTGTTTGAGGATACGTATCTTAACCGTTAATGTTTTATCTGGCATTATAAATATAGGCAAAAAACAACAGGTGTAGTATTTAAGCTTATACACTAAATGGACCTATAATTTCGGAGGCTCTCAGATAGGAACTAGAACTACTATCGTTTGCAAAATCTTGTAGTTTGTCATTAAGCACCTTTTTGAAGGAGGCCAATGTACTTGCTTGACGCATTTCCATTGGCAGTTTATTCCATATCTGTGCATACTTAATCATGTAAAACTTTTGCCTGGTGACTGTTTTACATTGTTCGATAGCTACTGTACCCTTAGTGTGTCTAAGTTTGTAGCCATTGTCATCTGAAAGTCGAGTGCCATTAGTAGAGGTAAAAACTAAGTGGTTTAGAAGCTTATAGTAAAGTGTCAAGTTTAGTCTCAGGCGTCTTAGCCATAGTGTTTCTAGTCCTAGGATATCACATCCAGTGGAGTAGTTCGCACCATTTTCGGTTCCGAGTAATTTTAACGTGAAGTACCTCTGCACTCCCTCGACTTTCAATTTGTCCTCTATGCGTATACTACTATACATGAATGAACAGTAATCAAATAAAGGACGCACACAAACCTTGTACAACAGAATTCTAGACTCATTTCTGTAGAAGTTCCTGAGTAGAAAGCCGATAAGTCTGCGTGACTTTGACACTTGTTTGGGGATATGTTCAGAAAATGATAAGTTATGTGAATATTTCAGCCCTAGGTCTAGTTGCTAAAATATTCCGATTTCACAGAAATAACTTAGGCCCATAGGTGAATGTTGGTTATTATCTTAGTTGGAATAAGGACAAGTTGTTCAGAAGGTAAGGAAAATTTTATCTCTCAGTTTATTCGTATTATACTATTGCGCATTGAGTTGCACTGAACTTCAACATGCAGCAAAAGATTATGAATACCTTTCTCATCTCTTCTGAATAAGAAACTTCATAGCACAGAAATTACTTCACGAGACTCTCTATATTAAGTTCAGTAAGGACAAGTAGAAGTTTTTCCATCTTAGTGTTATGATTTGATATGTGAAACGTGTAAGGCCTTACAGCAATACATTTGGCATGGAGAGCTAATAGTGAAATCAAAAGTATATATGTTTTACGAAATCTTCCTGTATAGATTTGATGTTCATCAAGTGGTCATTTCACAATTCCTGAATGTAGCAATCAAGGTAAAACTATGACTCGTATTTCTTACAGTTGTTGCCATTTTCATTTTTCGGCAGTTCACAATCTATTGAGGTTACACAACCACATTACCCTTTTCTCACTTTTCTGAGTAAAAATTAAATAGGTTTTTGAAAATGTAGTGCGTCAGTTTGTGAATTTCACGAATTCTACAAATTACATTCAATTCACTTAACAATAAAACCAAACTCAGAGGGAACTCATATTTCCAAGAAGAATTTGACATAAGGCTCATTTCTACATCTGTAATTTCAGTTCGATTTCATCATGCATATATTCATGGAATTTTCTGACATTGACTTTAGGGATTTACCAGGGAACGGCCTCATCGAATTTGAGTGTACTGATAATATTGTCCACCTAGGTTGTCAAATGTGACCAATGAAGCTGGAAGATATGAAAATTCTACCGTTGTTGGATCGTAGGTGTCTTCACCTTATTCTCTCTTTTAAGTAGCATATATAGTATGGTGAATAATATTAGGGTTAAACGTGCAGTGTTAGGTACATATGTGACAGAGATGCATTCACTGTGTGTAATCTCACGTATCTAATCAGGCGTTATGCTTTATTCTTGTCACTATCCGTTCCCCCTCACATTTATGCTCAGTGTGCGTCAGTGGCACAGCGATTAGGATGCTGGCCAACCATGCACGTGGTCCGGGGTTCGGTCACCGGCAGGCGCACACCTTATATCAGTGGTTGACCTGCTAAATTTGGGCTACCAATATCACACGCTGAAAATTCCATAAATGTACCGAAATACTGTGTGGAATCAATCTATATCAGAATGACTAAAAAACTTAATTGCTTGTTTTTCTACCTATGTGTGCCACATTGAATTTGGTAACTTGAACAGGTGCATTTACATGCAAGCTTCTATGCTGAGAGTCAGTCTGTCGGAATGACATAGAATCCGGATATAAAGAAATGCTAAAAAGTGGATAATAATCACCTAAATGTCAACAAATGGTAATCGAACTTTTCATCTGGTTATCATCTGAGTGAAAAAAAGAGTTATCTCAAAATAATCCCTCCTCTTACTAGAGATAAGTTTCACAGCTTTTGTCCAGACGAATCTCATAAGTTGCTCTATCTCATCCCATAACCTAAGTGCAAAGTCGAAACACATCTGATGAAATATTTGTTGCTTATTACCGACCAAATATAATATTTCCCAAGTGTGGAATGTAACTGCTGCGCTTCGGTGCTGAGTTCTACGTTAAAACTCAGTCAGTCAGCACTTGTCTCCGCAGCTGACTGGTTTCACAACTCACTGGGGCGGTAATTGGTTTAAACAATTATAAATACCGTTTCCCGACTGCTTAATTGTCCCGCTAAAGTGCACCGAAGAAGAAACCATGAACCAGATGTCAGTAACTCGGACAAAAGAAATAGTGTGAACAGAAATGAATGAGATGAACGATTTTTCTATCCCTGTAGTATACTTAACTAAAATACGCATCATATCCATTATGTGTCTACTATTTGTTTCATTTTTGTCTTCCTTATTGCAGGTTATCAGTATTCGTAGACATTCCACTAGATGTCGTCTGCAAGCAGTCTTCAATACACCTACTTCCCACAAAGTTGTTATTACAAAGCCTTCAGATTATTCATATTGAGCTATAGTACAACTAGCATGCTCATATATCACTGATGCAATGACACGCAACACTTGAACATGTTGCTGTGAAGTTTGGTCGTAA